CCCAGCAAGTGGCGCCCGAACAGGGACCTGAAGGGGTAAGTATAATTCTCGGACGGATAGGAGTCTCACCGTAGGGTGCTGCAGACCCCCAGTTAGAGGAGAACTGGTTAGGAAGGTGAGTAAGGCGGTGTCAAGATGGGACACGCTGAGTCCAAAGAGAGGCTCTTATTTATTGATATAGTTAAACATATGATAAATGGAAGAGGAATTAAGGTAACTAATAAGCAATTAACTCAGTTTTTTCAGTTTGTACAGGAACAATGTCCTTGGTTTCCAGAAGAGGGAACAGTTAATATAGAAACCTGGCAAAAGGTGGGGCAAACTTTGCAAGTATATTACAGTCATTTTGGACCTGAGAAGGTTCCAGTAGATACTTTTACTTTATGGAATCTTATTAGGGAAAGTATTGCTCCCTTGCCTGAAGGTCAAAAGAACCCGTATAAATATCCTACAGAAGTAATAGATGAATGTACTCCGTTACTTTCCCCAAAAACACCAAAAGATATTAAGGTTTTGGCTGCAGCTTTAGAAAACTGTAACCTTGATGATAAGGACTCAGAGGAAGAAAAAGAGTCACCTACTAACACTAAATTTAATTTGTTAAAAAACCCTCCTTTTGATGATGAATTGCCTCCTGCAGATCAGGATGATTTAGATGCTGCTGCATATGATTATGAAAGAAGGAAGTATGAACCTCATGGTGCTTTTTCAATACAAGAAACTAAGAATAACAGACCTAAATTACAGGATATGCGCCCTTTGGGTCGTTTACCGACCGCCCCACCAGCACCTTTAAGTTCTTCACTTCCCCCTTTAAAAAGGTCAGGGCATTCAATTTTAAATGTTGGGGGCCTACCGCCTCCACCACCTTTTAAGGCCAAGAGCCCACCACCTCCACCACCTTTTAATAATAATCAAGGCAAAAATAAAAAGCATAGGAGAATAAACGGTGAAGATGATGATTATGCTTTTGCAGCCTGTTTTCCAGTTATTTTTGATAATGATTTTGATGATGATGATGCGGTATATTGGGAACCCTTACCTTTAAAACTTTTAAAAGAGCTTAAAAAGGCCTGTATAGATTATGGACCGTTAGCGCCTTATACTATGACTCTTATAGATGCCTTAGCAAATAGATGGATGACTCCATATGACTGGATTCAGGTTACCAAGGCCTGTTTATCGGGAGGACAATATTTACTTTGGAAGGCAGAATATGAGGAACAGGTGGCTAAACAAAATGCTTTAAATAAGAAATGGGATAAATTTAATATTACTAAAGATATGTTATTAGGTCAAGGAGAATATGACTCAACCCAACAGCAGATGCATATGGGAAAGGAGGCCTTATGGCAAATAACTACATGTGCAGTGAATGCCTGGAAGTCTTTGCCTTTGACTCCAGGAAAAGCCTCCATTTTAACAGATCTAAGACAAAAGTCTGAAGAACCATATGAGGATTTTGTTTCTCGCTTGTTAACAGAGATAAAACGGGTAATAACTGATGAGGATGCAGCTAGCATGTTAGCTAAACAATTAGCCTTTGAAAATGCTAATCCTGTTTGTCAGAATTTAATTCGACCAATTAGAAAAACTGGCAACATTTTAGATTTTATTAAACAGTGTTCTGATGTGGGTCCCTCTTATATGCAAGGGATTGCTCTGGCAGCCGCTCTAAAAGGAGAAACACTTCCTCAATGTATGATGAATATGGTTCAAAAAACAAAAAACCCTAAGGGATTAAAAGGAAATAATTGTTTTGCTTGTGGAAGTGCAGGTCATTTTAGTAGGGAATGTCCCAATAAAAATATACCTCCAGCAGGCCCTGTTAGAATGATATCTCCTGGTAATATTGGGGTTCAAAAGACTCCTTGCCAAAGATGTGGGAAAGGAAATCATTGGACTAAATTGTGTAGGAGTAAATATCACAAGGACGGACACATTCTTCCCCCTAGTGGGGTTTCTGCAGTGCCTCAGGCTGGAGCTCAGATGCCAATATTTCCTGCACCTGTTTTTCCAGGTACACCTGCTGAAACTAATTCGGGAAACTTACTTCGGGCCCAACCCCGGGCCCAACAAACAATAGGGGCCATTCACCAGACGCTCAATCCCTTTCTTCCCTCAGGGGAATCGATAAATTGTTTAGGGCCACCCCAGGCAGCGCAGGATTGGACCTCTGTGCCACCTCCGCAACAATATTAACTCCTGACTCTCCAGTTATAAAAATACCAACTGGGATTAAAGGTCCATTGCCCCCAGGAGTAATGGGTTTAATTATTGGTAGGAGTTCAACTTCCTTATCTGGCTTAACAGTTTTGCCTGGAGTAATTGACTCTGATTATACAGGAGAAATTCAAATAATGGTGGCTCCCTCTAATAAGACGCAGCAAATTTATGTGGGACAAAGAATAGCACAATTGTTATTGCTACCATATTATAAGACAGGAAAGAATGTAATTCAAGAAACCAGGAATGAGAAAGGATTTGGCTCCAGTGATATGGCATTTTGGATTCAAGAGATTACCAGAAATAGACCCTTGAAAATTTTAAAAATTAATGGAAAAAATATTCAAGGTTTATTAGACACAGGTGCAGATGCTTCCTGCATAGCAGGAAAAGATTGGCCTAGCAGCTGGCCCACCAAACATGCTGACAATATGTTAGCAGGTCTGGGAACTGCTCCAACAGTAGCTAAGAGTGCCCAGATTTTAACTTGGGAGAATACTGCTAATAAACAAGCAGGCTCCTTTTGTCCTTATGTAATACCTGGCTTGCCAATTTCCCTTTGGGGAAGAGATATACTTATGCAGATGGGAATGCTCCTGTATAGTCCAGATGATTGGGTTTCCTCACAAATGTTAAATATGGGTTATGACCCAGATAAAGGTTTAGGAAAAAATCAGGAGGAAAGATTATATCCTGTGGTTGCTGAGCCCAAAAATGATAAACATGGAGTGGGCTATCCAAATTTATAAAGGGGGCCATTGTTCTAAAAGCAGCTGACCCTATAGTGTGGCTTTCAGAGGAGCCTGTATGGGTAGAACAATGGCCCCTAACTTCTGAGAAATTAGCAGCTGCAGAAGAATTAGTGGAACAGCAATTATTGGCAGGACATATTGAACCCTCTAATAGTCCTTGGAATACTCCTATATTTGTTATAAAGAAAAAATCAGAAAAATGGAGATTATTACAAGATCTTAGAGCAATAAATAAAACAATGGAAACAATGGGGGCTCTACAGCCTGGACTTCCCTCTCCAGTAGCCATCCCTAAAGATTATGCTATTATAGTCATAGACCTGCAAGATTGCTTTTTCACGATCCCCTTACATAAGGAGGATAGAAAGAGGTTTGCGTTTAGTGTGCCCTCTCCTAATTTTACCAGACCATATCAGCGGTATCAATGGAAAGTTTTACCGCAGGGCATGAAAAATAGCCCTACCTTATGTCAGAAATATGTAGACCAAGCCATATGTAATATAAGACAAAAATATGAGGAAATATATTTAATACATTATATGGATGATATATTATTGGCCCATAAAGATAAGGCCTATCTACATCAGGCATTGCAGGATATGATGGAAGCCTTACAGGAGTATGGATTAAAAGTTGCTCCAGAGAAAATTCAAACTGAGCCTCCTTATAATTATTTGGGCAGATTAATACAGGAATTTTCCATTCAGCATATACCTTTTCAGCTAAGAACCGATCATTTAGTTACTTTAAATGATTTTCAAAAGTTTTTAGGAGATATAAATTGGATAAGGCCTTTATTAAAAATTACTACTGTGGAATTAAAACCTTTGTTTTTGATATTACAAGGAGATCCTAACCCCTTATCTCCTAGAGAGTTAACTGCAGAAGGAAAACAAGCCATAGAAAAAATAGAAAAAGCTTTAAAAAATGTTTTTATTAAAAGACTAGATTATACCAAACCTTGGGATTTAATTATTTTAAGGACTCCAGTTATTCCTACAGGATTATTATGGCAAGATGGACCATTAGAATGGATACATTTGGCTGCTAGTCCAAAAAAGATTGTTGCCTCATACCCTTTTATGGTTAGTTTGCTAATTATTAAAGGTAGAAAGAGAAGTAGAGAGTTATTTGGAAAAGATATGGATAACATAATTATACCTTATAATAAAAATCAATTAGAGGCCTTGTTGTTGTTAGAAGATTCATTAGGAATAGCCCTGGCCTCATTTGGAGGTCAGATTTTATTTCATCTGCCTAAAAGTGTATTGTTACAGTTTTTTAAGGAACATATGGTGGTTTTTCCTACATATTATAAGATAAAACCTTTGGAAGAGGCCATATTAGTATTTACTGATGGATCCTCCTCAGGGAGGGCAGCCTATATTATTAATAATGAAAAGAAAGTATTAAATACAGAAAATTGCTCAGCACAGCAATCAGAAATTATGGCAGTTATAAAAGTGATAAAATTAACCAGGGATAAAAAGATTAATTTATATACTGATTCCTTATATATAGTTAAATTATTTCCAGCAATAGAAACAGCAGCCTTTCCTGAGAATAAGAGTACAATTATTAAGTTGCTTAAGAGACTACAAAAGAGTATATGGAAAAGAACACAACCTTATTATATAGGCCACATTAGAGCTCATTCTGGATTGCCAGGGCCTTTAGCAGAAGGCAATGCCTCTGCTGATGCCCTGACTAAAGTTTTTATAGTAGATGAGAATAAAGTACAAGAAGCAATAGAATTTCATCAGCTACATCATCAAAATGCTAATGCCTTAAGATATCAGTTTAGTCTAACTAGAGAAGCAGCAAGGGAAATAGTAAAAAATTGCTCTGTGTGTCCTACTCAAATTAATGTACCTCAACAAGGAGTAAATCCCCGAGGTTTGCGAGCTAATGATTTGTGGCAAATGGATGTGACTCATGTACCCAGTTTTGGAAAGCTGTCATATGTACATGTTTGTGTAGATACCTTTTCACATGTAATTGTAGCCTCAGCTAGGACCGGAGAGGCCTTTAAGGATGTGTGCCAGCACTTGATGTTTTGCTTTAGTTATTTGGGAATTCCCCGAAAGTTAAAAACTGACAATGGCCCTGCTTATGTTTCTAAATCTTTTCAGCAATTATGCCAACAGTTTGGCATAGCCCATAGTACAGGAATTCCTTATAATCCACAAGGACAAGCTATAATTGAAAGAACTAACCAGGTATTAAAAAATATGATTTATAAATTGCAAAATGGAGATTTAAAATATTTTTCTCCTCATCATTTACTTAACCATTCTATGTTTGTATTAAATTATTTAAATATGAATGATAAAGAAAAAACTCCTATGATGAGACATTGGGAGATAAATGAAAAAAGTATAAAACCAAAGGTATTATGGAAGGATGTTTTAACAGGAAAATGGAATGGACCAGATATATTACTAACTAGTGGTAGAGGATATGCTTGTATTTTTCCTCAAAATTTTGATTCACCAATTTGGATTCCTGATCGATTAATTAGACACCCTGAGGTGGGAAATTTATCGAAGCATTTTTCAGAAAAGAAATCGCACTGCTGAGATGGCGGAATTACATCCCCGGGAAGAAAAACCAATTAACCCTACGGCCTGCGATAAAGAGGTACAAACTTCTCCTAAATTATTGGAGAAAAAACCTACACTGCCTTCTCGTTCACGAAAAAGGAGGTATGCTGTTTCCACCACTGAAGCGGCTCCAATGACTTGGGGGGCAATTAAAAAACTTTGCCTGACTGCTAAAAATACTATGATTACACAAGAATTGCCGTTGACGACTCCTAATTTTTTTGTGACTATGCTTACTTTGCTTTCAGTTCAGGTGAACGCCAATGATACGTATTGGACCTTTTTTCCAGATCCTCCTATTTTACATACGTGTACTTGGACAGATTCCATTATTCCAGTGACTTCTTCATTCCCTGACTTGACCGATGGCATTCGAGGAATACAGGGATATAAACAATTTGTTATTAATTTTAACTACTCATTTACAGGTCAGACTGACTTTCCTCCAATATGCTTTTTTCTTGGCTCAGGGTCAATAGAAAATAGTCGAACAAAAAATGGATGTTTGTCAGTAGTTGATGCAGGATTTTTGACAGATTCCCCTAAAAGGCCCCCTAAAGAGCCAGTAGGAAGAGATAAAACCACAAGATATTTATGGTCATTGTTAGGGAAAGTTGTAGGACAAAATCAAGTTTATGTTAATAAATATCCAGCTAAAGTTGTTTATCCTTCTAGATATGATGATTGTGATGAGGCTGCAGGGGAAGCTACAAATGAATGGATTCGGATAAATATTAAAACTGGATATCCTTTATGGATATATTGTATGTATAATAAAGAGAATAAAATAACCATTCCTGGAACTAGATATTATATTTCAGATTGGAGTACTAATTTTCCTGAGGGAGATTATAGAACATATTTAGAGAAAGGCATATTATATCCATGGAATAATTCCTATATTCCCCGTCCATTGAAGGTAAATAGATGAAATAGTCATGGATGGGTGGCTCCTATTTATACTTTTGTATATGAAAATAAAACCTATTATCAACCTCAGTTATGGAGATTACCCTTAACCACTCGTAAAATAACGTTAATTAGAGCTACTACCCATATGGAAGAGTACCATGTTCAAACCTGTGTGTCATCTCCGTATTCCTTATTGCTTTCTAATGATAGTGAAAAGTTGCAGATTATGCAGTATAATATGAGATTTTATATTACCTGTCAACAATGCATACTGACCACTTGTATTGTTCCTGAAATGAATGTGTCAACCATAATGGTGTTAAAAAGACCAGCTTATATTATGTTGCCAGTAGCGCTTAATGAATCTTGGTATACAGATATAGGGGCAGAAATTGTAAGACAGGTTGGAGAGCTCATACGGCCAAAAAGATTCGTGGCTACTTTGATTTTGGGAATTTCCGCTTTGATAGGAATACTGAGTTCTTTTACTGTTGCAACATATACTTTAGTAAAAGAAGTACAAACAGCACAATATGCTAATGATTTATCAAAAAATATATCCTTGGCTTTAGCGACTCAGGAAGCAATAGATAGAAAGTTAAAAGCTAAAGTTGATGCCCTTGAAGAAACAGTTTTACATATTGGTCAAGAACTTACTGCTTTAAAAATTCGCCTATTTTTAACATGCCATAAAAAATATTCTTGGATATGTGTTACTCCCTTAAAAGTAAATTATTCTAAATATTCCTGGGAAAAAATTCAAATGCATATTTTAAATATATGGAATTCTAGTGATATAGAAATTGATTTGAAACATTTACATAAACAAATTCATGATATTACAGCCTCTCAATATGATATAAATCCCTCTAAGGCTGCTGCAGAATTTTTACAAAATTTACAAAGTTATTTTAAGGGTAATTCCTTTATACATATTTTAATAAATTATGGGGCTGCCGGAGTGGTTATAATTTTGCTCCTTATTTCTTTTCCAGTTATTATCCGATTAATTCAAGTTGCCCTCCAGAGTGTATATAAAACCAAAGTGGAATTGCATACTGCCTTTTTAAAAAATAAAAAAGGGGGAGATGTTGGGAGCCATATAGGAAGTGCCTTTGAGTCACAGCACAGACGAG